CGCAACCTCGTTCCACCACCCAGTTGCCTGTGCGACCAAATTGCGTCTTGAACCTCCAGACAAGGCGAGATTCTGTCCGATACCACGGTATTCAGGATATTCCTTCCAATTTGGGTGTTCGAACTTGCACCTCTTTACCCATTCAACTGCCAGATTTTCCAGTTCTTTGCTGTACACCTTTAGCAATATACTACAGGATTAGCATAATTTTTGCAGGAGAAATCACAGGGGTGTGTAACACTTCCCAAATGGGTTCCTGTATGCTTGATGCAAAAAGCGAGGCATGATTGGGGGTTCGTGGAAGATGTGGAGCTCGAATTATGGTGCGAATGAAAACTCACCATTTCTAACATATTGGTAGCGGGAGGGTCTACAGCTCCTCTTTTTTCATTGTGGAAATCAAGAAGCCCTTTGCGCTCCTTCTCAGTCGGAGCTTCTGAGGTCACGAGTGTGAACAAGACTAAGGCGTAAATAAACTTGACCATTGTGTCTAGAAGAAATGAGGAATAAGCAGTCTGTCTTGTCTACATTAAGAAAATTAGGTAAGCTCACAGCTGAGTAGCAAATTGTATGCACTGCACGGACATCCATGCGTAGTTGTTTTTATAGTTCTACTCACATTCTGATGATGTTGGATCACGTGTAAATAACGCGATTGTTAGGCGAAAGTATTTGTTACACCTACGAAAGCTGAGCGGGTGTTGTATTTTTTTAACTTGGAACAATTATTACATATTAAGGCAGTCTTTATTGCCTTTTAGAGAGCACTTCCCCTTCTGTTCTCGTTCTTTCTCATTTTAGTGGAATGCAAACTAATGTCACTTTCCTGTCACGTTAAGGCCTCCTTCTCTAGTGAGTTAAAGACTTTGACCAGTATCACCCTACTATGGAAACTGCCGCGTGTTTGGGTGTCAAAGCTGACAACACCACGCCCATTGAATCGTCATCTCTTACGATTCCAAATTGGGCTATTGTTTTAGAGGAAGATATACGCTCCGAAGTAGAATTAAGCTTCAGTTATCGGCACATTTGTGAGTCCGTTTTGATATTTCCTTTGCAACTTTATATCACCGCACAACAATCGCTCCTTTCTGATACTCCAAACACAAACTGAATTTTTTCTGTTGCATTTAAGCCAATAATAAATAAAAGTGTTCACTGACTTGAAATTTTAACACTACTTCGTGATTTTCCTCCTTAAAAAATATAAAAATGCAAATCAGGAACAACTTAACTATTTCTAATAAAGGTGGCAGGTTTATTTCGGTATATGCAGTCTCAAAAGTTGAGGAGGTTGAAAGCTGCTTCTGGCAGATGGTGGAAAATGCGTTGCCTGAGGTGGAGATGTGGGAAAGGTGCTTTTGTGATGTTTGTCCGTAGCTTTGGTTACTTTCTTCGACACTAAGAACGGCTAAATAATGGCAAAATTTTGAGTTCCGAATTTGCATTGATACTTGTCGCGTTTTGAGTCACCTTGGTTTAATGCATGCCGTTTAGCAGTTTTTCCTTTTTCCGATTATAAAACAGTAAAATTCGAGAGTGATTCAAGCCAATTAGCTTAGTAGACGAGAGTGTAGAGAATAAAGCGGACCCTGTGTCCACTTTAGAATGGAAAGCCGTAGCTTGGGGCCTCTCTAACGCCACTGATTTCTGTAGCCTATGCGACAATGTAAATGCACTGGGAAAAATTGAGGTGAAAGAAAAGATGCAATGCAAGTGTGGTCAATCCTTGCTCTCTGTTTGTTGTAAACTACGTCAGTATTAAATGCAACAAATCATCAAGTACCCAATGTCCATTGACGCTTGTGAGAGGCATTAGAGTATTGAATGGGGTTGCTGACGCCATGTAGTTACACCAGAATCGTCAAATGCCTACCGTATTTAACCCCGCATTTATTTTACCAATTAACTGCATGGATGAAGGTAATATCGACAATATTCAATGGGGGCTGTAAAGACGACATGCAAAAATGTAATACCGTTAATGAATTGTAAGAACAGGTGGGGGATAAATACCGATACCCATAGCAGCCCTAGCAAATAACACTTGGTTTCAATCATCTTTACTCTTTAACTGGTCCTAGCTTTCTAGAGATGTGAGAACCTGAATATGCACGGAGGCATGTGCATATTTAGGTTTCAGTGCAATATACTACAGTACAACGTCCTAGGGCTCTATTAATTTTTCTCATCGAGCCTTCCTAAATATGACTGACAACCATGAATCCCTCTTGAATCACTCACCTTGATTCATTACTGCTACTCAGACTAGAAAAATAATACAACATGAGCAACACCTTTCCATGAATCCATAAACCATTGTAAAAAGACAAGGGTATTTAAAGGTTTAAATACTAGACAAGACATAAATATTTGGAAATAGCGGCAAGGATGTGCCTAATTTTAAACACTATCCATCTAACTACT